TTGGAAAACATTATAAACATCAAGTAAATATGCAAATAAAACTGTCTGTATACAATAAGAGTATACAGTGTTCGAGACATCAACAATGTTCAAGTGTGCAAAATACTCCCATCGCAGTAAAACTGCAAACTAAGTGAATTTCCATTTGCCTAGTTGAATTTTCAATTAAATCTATTTCAATATCATAAGGTTTAACAAGTGCCTAGGTTTGCTGCCACAGGGAGAATTTTAAAATTTGTTTTATTAGTAAAATATTAATAGCTTAGTACAAAATAAATGAATTTGCCAAGTTTGATACCAATCCAATCGAAATCGATCACCACTTACCATCTTTTATATGAATTTACCGTCTTGTGAGTAAACAGTATAAGTGAAAATATAATATTAGAAATGTTATTTGACGTAATTTTTGTACTTTCAGATAATTTAATAACACGTACGATGCTGATCAAGAAGTTATTTACAAATAATTAGTTATTAATATTTAAAGTGACATACTCATAATATTTATTATTACTTATATTACTGTTCAAATGATATACCGTACTCAGTTATATATTACTTAAAAATATAATTTGAAGTTACTTTATCTAAACATGACAGTATATTTCAAACTAATAAAATGTGTTATAATTAAAATAATGTTAAAATAAAAACAAATACATTTATTATATTTCACAGATGGTCATATTTAAAATTTTACAGTACATCGTAAATAAAAATATAGTTGGATGAAGCTAAAAAATACAGGGTGGGGCAGGGAAATAGCCATACTTTTAAGATGGCACTGAGAGTAGTGGGGGTGTGCTGGAGGAATGGGGTTAGGCTCAAATAAAGCTTTTGTTTTGGGAATTTCTAAGAATATCACTGTCAGTAGAAGACATGGCATGTTCGAGTGAGCAATGTACTTTTGCACTCGAATTGTTTTTTTTATCAGTCTATTGTTGCTGTGCAGCTAGCGTGTGCTGTGAACTTGTTATCAGATAGCCTGCCGCAAAGCTGTTACATTTTGATGTGTGTGAATGACATCCATGTATGTGGTGGTGTATTGCGAAGGATATTTGGAGCTCAAATAACCGTCCGGACTCCTGAAAACATCCTGAAGAAAGCTTTTGCAGTCTCCTCAACGTTCTGCTTGTAAACATGCATCCGCGCTGGCGTTGTCTAATCGTACTGTGCCTCGTATCATACATGAGGACCTACGCCTCCATCTATGCAAGAGGGTAGTTTCTCAAAAACTCACACAAAGAGACTTGCAACAACGAATTCACGCGTGTGAAATCTTAATTGTGGGACTGCCTCATGCTGCTCGGGTTTTGTTTAGTGATGAGGCACACTTCCATATTTCCAAAGCGGTAAATACGTAGAATATGCTCTATTGGAGTAATGCTAAGGCTAGGGTAGGTCAAGGGATGGCCCTAGATGCCCTGAAGGATGCAATTCACCTTGAAGTTGGCCGCATCCCACAACAAATGCTTCACAGAGTTATGATGAACTCCAGAACCAGAATACAGCTGTGTATTTACGATTAGGGACACCAGCACACCATTTGCAGGATATGTTGTTTAAAACCAAGTAAAGTCATATTAAATTAAACTCCCAGATGTAACCTTCTAATCCAAATATAAAGTTTGGTTCTAACATTTTTGGTTCTCTTTTAATGTACCTTCGAAATTAGGGATACTTCCCTGCCCCACCCTGTACTTCTTCGTCTGAAATGATTCATGCATGCATTAACATCGTGAATGCCACAATAATCTTCCATATTTTATAACTTCTAATTTATGATTGGTGCCATCTATTGGGGTTAAGTCATGGCGTTATAGCCCTGCAATACTGCTTTGTAGTTCTTGTAATGCTTCTGTTGAAACACAAGTTACAATGAACACAATTATTTTCTCAACTGCTACTGAGCTCAAAGCTTTAACTTTACGAGTTATATAATTGTCGTACTACTGTACCTATGTTTGTTTTATGTTTATGTTTGTTACTAAGTACTTAAGAAAATTACGGTTATTTTGGAACATTTCCTTGACATTTTGAAAAGTATACGAATTAACTTCATGGGAGTTCACTTTCATTGTTTCATAACATCGTGTATACACTCAATATAGGGTATTTTAGCTGTAAAACATTGTTTTACATTACTTTAATTTGCCTTCACAAACTTAACATTGAAGTGATTAAAAGAAATCAAACTTAATGGGGGATCTAAAGTTATAAAAACCCGAGCATTTAAAGTATATTTTATTTTAATTTAATAGACGCGCACCTTTCATTTCAGTTTAAGTAAACTACTATTGTCAGATAAAACTTGGAATATTCTCTTTTTTGTTAGCTCAGTTTTAAAATGAAATTGTAAAATATTCAACAATTCAAGTATGTCAATTATTTGATTTTGTCAAAAAATAAATTTTGTTTACATAGAACTTTAGAGGACCGTAATCGTTCAAGGTGAACTTTAATCTAACCCGTCAAAGATATGAATATGGTGTTAGAGTTTTCTTTATTCAGTATACTTTTAATTTTACTATATTTACTTAATTCAGCCGCCATATTGGAAAATGGCGGCTGAATTTCGAAAAACTAAAATCATATTTTTAACTGCCACAACAAATTATGGAATTTCCCTCTTTTAAGTTGTCTCTAATTCTTACCGATTCCGATATCCCAATGGTGGCCTCCTTGAGTTGATTACTCTGTATAGTCAAAGGTTGTACACAATGTTTATTGCATGCACAGTAGTAAACCTCAGCCTGGTTCGGCTCATTCAGGATCACACAATCAGCCACTAAGTACAAAGCTAGTATTGTAATGAGAGGTGATTTAGTAAGGTTTGTCTGCAGCTGGGGCACATTCCTTAGTGTGACCGCCACTCCGAGGTCAGGCCCAGGTAAAGTGTCTCCCTACTAGTGTCCTTTAGAAGGAAATTGATCAGAGTTAGGATAGAATAATCAATTTAATTTTCACGATTATACCATTTTAATATTCCTTATTATTACTTTGGATTACTATATCTAGTATTTAGGACAGTGCAAATATCTTATCGCTATAAATTATTTGATTTTCTATGGCAAAAAGTTTATATTTCTGCTGTGTTTCAACATAATTGGCGGTTTTTACATTTTTTCCAGGGAACGGTCCAAACCCTAGTCGTGTTACTATATAACGTCGATCTTTTGTTAGACAGCATCATTAACGGATAATGCCAAATGGCATATAAGTCCAGAATCTATTTAGTTAAGAGTTGATCCAGCTATCTTCATGAAGGCGAGTGTGGCTAAACCAAGAAACTGTATATGGCAACGGAGCACATGAAAAGAGCCCGAAATTTTAATCCTCAAAAAGGTTCACTAATCTTAAGCATGGAAAGAGCCCGGGTCTCCACAGGTACCTGAGGAGGAGGACGCTTGCTCGTGCTCTGAAATAGTGTTGTGTTTGTTTGGGTTAGGTTAGGTTAAGTTAGGTTAGGTTAGGTAAACAGACTATATCTTTTAGTAATGTAGATATCTTTTAATAATAAATATTTTAATAATGTATCTTTTAACAGTGTATCTTTTAATATTGTAAATAAATTCATGTATTTCTAGGGAAAAAGTTCTAGGAAGAGCTCGGGCTCTTTTCGCACCGTCCTGGAAGGGACCTTGGAGGTCCGGGTGCTTTTCAAGCGTCTGCCTGAGTTTTGGGCTCTTTTCATGTGCGCCCTATGGCGAATGTTTTTATTTACATGTGATTTATAACACAGATTATTTGTTTTTGTTATTGTAAACAGAACTATTAATTTGTTTTGAATGAAAACTAACTGTAAGAAGTAAGGGTATTATATTTTTTGGATTAAACTTAATTTAATCCGTAAAACTAATATATATCTGATATTTACTAAATTACCAAGAAACTTGAAACTTAACTACTGAACTTAACTCAACTATATTATACACACGCTTATACGTAAAAACTTTTAACTGGCCCAGAAAACTTCAATCCTCACTATATTTTTGCGTCAGCGAGCATTGAAGTATTGCTGCATGTGTAACATTACCTACTGATTAAACATGAAAATATCTCATTTTTGTTCGATGCTAGTGTTGCTTAGCCTTAAAATCGTATAACCTTAACTAAGAGTGATAGACATTCAATGAGATGTGGTTCCATTTAATAGTTGAGGCACTTTCATTAATATTTTATTGTTTTCCAATGGTTTGATGATTCCTGACTGAAAAGGTTGATGTAACGAATTAGATACGAATATAACTAGTTTCAATATAGTAACTCCTCATTAATAAGTGTCTTTTCAAACATTTTGGTCAGGGGGTTTTCAGTAGTGTATTTGAAAATCTGTAAAAACAAAGTCTACCTAAACGATAGCATGGTGTGATATTATTTTAGTTTGAATGTATTGGATTATTTTTTTAATTAGTTTGTAGGTTGATATTTTGTGGTTATGCAGTTAACAGTGAAATTGAATACCGTGATAGTTGAAGTTGACTTACATTTACTTCTAATGTTACTAGAATGAACGTCAAGAACAAAACAAGGATTGTGTTTTATATAGCTGCATTATCAAGGCCTTCTTAATAACCTGAATACAAGGCCTGAATACGATGTAGGTTATATCATGATTTGAAGTAAAAAAGAGATCTATATGTAAAAAGATAAAAGCTAAATAAACACAAAAAAATCGGTAGACCTTTTCTTAACGTGCATAGCGAAAATTTATTTATCAGGATGCGTCCAAGATAGGGCTACACACTAGGGCTAGGGAAGAATATGAAATAGCTACTAAGTTCTAAAATACATCAGAAAGTAAACAGTCCTCTTTTGCCGATTTATGAACGGATTCCATTATGTACATTGAATCCAAACATGGTTGCAATCAAAGGCAGATAAAAATATGTTTATTTAGAAATCAAACCATTATATCATAATTTAGTTCGATAGCATAACAATACTTTGACTTTGGGCAGTAAGAAATTTCTAAAAATATAACATTTTTGTTGCAGAAGACAGATTCTACATTAACGCCCTGCGAAATGAAGGTATGTCAATGAATCGATACAATATAGCCTTTTAATTACATATTAATATGCAGGTGTATTATACAAAAGACAATTTCCAAATACAGGTAGTCGATAAGGTAATAAGGTAGTAGTAATAAGGTAGTCGAACATGTGATTTATAACCAGGTGAGAAATTTTTGTGAGTATCATGCTCTGTTCAACGAACAACAATTTGGTTTCAGGGCTGGACGCTCTACTTCGGGGGCCATCGATGCCATGGTCCGCACAGTCTTCAATTGTTTTGAAAGTCGAGAGGCTGCTTGGGCCACTTTTATTGACCTAAGCAAGGCCTTTGATTGTGTTGACCATGGCATCCTCCTCCAAAAGCTGGAGTATTATGGTATCCGTGGTGCGAGCCTCAGCCTATTCAGGACATACCTTGCTGATCGTAGACAGGCAGTTTGCATAGGCAATACCTGGTCCTCTGTCCTATCCACTAACTGTGGAGTACCTCAGGGCTCAGTATTAGGTCCTCTCCTGTTCCTCATTGCCATCAATGACCTGCCCTTCAGCCTCAACTGTGAAGCATATTTGTATGCAGACGATACCACCATTCTAAGTAGGGGTGCAGATGTAACGCAGCTTGTAGCTGCAGTGGAAAGTAGCCTAAGTTTGACCTCTGAATGGTTTGCAGCAAATAAATTCCTTGTCAACGAGGACAAAACACAGTCCATGCTATTTAGCTTGCGGCCTATACCTCAAATGGAGGAAACTATAAAAAGCAATTCAAATGTTAAGATTCTTGGAGTAATTGTTGATCCCCAACTAACTTGGAACTCCCAGGTACAACATATATGCACAAGACTAAGTAGGCTTACTTTTTTATTTAGAAAATTAAGGAACCTTCTGCCTCTAAATCATCTCAAAAATGTTTACTTTGCACTTGTCCAGTCAATTCTAAGCTACGGGATAATCCTTTGGGGAAATAGTTACCACATCAATGATGTTCTTGTTGCCCAAAAAGAGATTATTAGAACTATATTTAACAAAGATCAAAATGAACATTGTAAACCATTATTTATTAACTTAAATGCTTTGACTGTGATAAACCTTTATATTTATAATGTATTGTTATCTAGTTTTAAGTTGCATGAAACCTTTGCTCTAAGGGGTGATTTTCATTGCTTTGACACTAGGAAAAGAGAAAACCTTGACATTCCTTTTACAAGACTGGAAAAGATTAAAAGAAGCCATATTATTATTAGTAGAAAGTTGTGGAACAAACTATCGCCAAGAATAATTCAACTCCCTTACAATAGTTTTAAGAATGCAATTTATGAATGGCTTGTCAGAAACCCCCTGTATAAGATTGATGAGTTTTTTGCTTTACAACCAATGACAATGACATAACCCCAAATGATTATTTAATACCAGCCTTGCATGTATTTTTAGCTTGTCTATGCTTATCTGCTTTTGTATGATTATTTATTTGCATGATTTGTAATAATTCTTTATTATTACTATTAGTTGCTTGAACTTGACTTGTGCCTCTACCAGCATGTATTTATATAATTTGACTGTGTCTCATGCATTTATATAATGTCTATAGACGAATAAATATCATTTAATTTCATTTCATTACAATATCCACATCAGTGGCAGATTTGTTATCCCATAGTTTTAAAGATTCAGTTTAAAGATAGTTTAAAGATTCATAGTTTTAAAGATTTCAGTCAAGTAATTAGCAGCACTGTGGCTTAACCATCGATGGGCTTAACTAATCAATTTACAAGCATAGAAAATAATCGATGTCTATTAAATTTGTTAATGGATTCTTTAAGTCTAGATCATGACTTATGATACTGGGCAGTAATTAACAGAATCCACACTGTAGAGTTGCTTATGCTATTCTAGTTTTCACCCAAGTTATAAAAGGTATTCATATCGGCGGAGAAATAAGATTTTGGTAGGTTTTGCCAATGAAAGTAAAGATAGATTTAAATTATTGGGATTTTTGTGCGGCATAAAGTATCCAAGTTATTTAGTGTTTGTGTAATACAAACCTGCAATACTGACAATGTATATGCCTATGGCACCTTTAAATTTGCTATCAACAAATAAAGTAAGGATTATAATAATTATTTATAACAATTATACATTAAGTAAGAACTTGTTAAGAAGTAACATCGGCAATGAGATAGATTTGTTTAAGAAGTTATATAGGTTTTTGCCAAAACACTTTCTATGCTTAGACCAAACCGTTAGAATCTTTACTTTCGCACAATACATTTACGAAGAACATTAGACAATTCTCAATGTTAATAAATAAACAAGTGCGCAGAGTAAAATCTTATATGAAAAGTAAAATTGGTATTTTTAGAGTTTGGGTACTGAATTGAAATTCTCTTTTCAAGAGAAATGGAATTGATGAAGTAATCATAACAAATCATAGCAAATGCAAACATGAAAAGTTCACTCTAAACATGCTTTAGGCTGACAAATCAAAATAAACGGTATCGGCAAACTGACACATACTGACCCCCATTAGCTTGTCAACACCCCTTATAATGATGGGTGTAACTATTAAACAGGGTGATTGATATAAGTGTGCCAGCTGTTTTATTCGAAAACTATAAGAGATATCAAAATAAGTTAAATGGTAAGTGCCTTGGATTTTTTATTTGAAAATTTTTAGTCAAGTCGAAAAAAATGTTTTAGCAGCCATTTTTCCAATATGGCAGCCAACTTTGATTTTTCTTATGGTAATTTCGGCATGAGAAAGAATTTCGATAAAGGCCTAAGCAAGCATGCCAGCTGTTTTATTAAAATACCCCCGCCGCAGCAAACCTGCCGACTAAGCGAATTTCCATTTGTCTGAATTGATTTTCAGTTAAATATATTTTAATAACATTAGGTTTAACGAGTACCTAGGTTTGCTGTTACAAGGAAACTAATAAAGTGAGTTTTTTAGTAAAATGTTGATAGCTTAGTATAAAATAAATAACTTTGCCAAGTTTTATCAAAATATATCCATTAACAAGCAAACTACAACATTTGACAATATTCTCCATAAGAATAACATGGGAATTTTAAATTCACAATTTCTTAAATTTTCTCTGTTACCAATAACCGAACAAAAATACTTTTACACACTAAATTTTTTGTTTTTTTAAGCTCTTTAAAAAGGGCTAAAGAGAAATTGGGAAATTTTGTGTTTTTAGGGTCAAGAGTGAGAAAAACCGATTTTTACCCCATAAAAACCCCCGTAAAACCCCGTTCCCATGGTCCGATCATGCTGGTTTGTCATAAACTCATTCAAGTTTATCCCGCTTTACACCTTTAAACAAAATTTCATCAAAATCGGACAAAAATTACTCAAGTTATCGCGTTCACGGACGTATATATATATATATATATATATATATATATATATATAAATCTATATATATATATATATACATATATAAAAATTTGAACGAATGGTGTTTTTGGCCTCTGGGGACATCAAAATGAAAAAGTAAATCGGTCCCGGGTCTAGGTCTTACCGTGCCACCTACGGTAATAGCTACTTCCCTATAGGGAAATTCGCTAAAACTATTCGAAATTTCACAACTTCGAAAAAAACACAAGAGTAAAATTGTCTTTAAATTGCATTTTCTACCTGAATACATAATAAAATACAGGATGTTCCATAAGAAAAATCTAAGTTGGCGGCCATATTGGAAAAATGGCGGCTAAAATATTTTTCGACTTGACTACAATTTTTAAAATAAAAAATCCAAGGCACTTACCATTTAACTTTTTTTGATATCTCTTATAGTTTTCGAATAAAACAGCTGGCACACTTATATCAATCACCCTGTATTTATGGGTAAAAATCACACAAAAATGTAATAGTTCTGATCCGAAATTTAATTTGTAAAAATAGTATTTAGTACTACTGTATTTTGTTTATATTTGAAAGGACCATAGGGCCTACTAATTTTTAACCAAAGTCGTTCGAACAGTGTTTGTGAAAATCCTTTTTTCCATTATTTTATAGGAAAATCACCGTTAAACATCAAAATATAAAAAATAAGAAAACCCTTGGAGATACCATGGATTAGTATCCACATACAAAATTTCGTCGAAATTTGACCGCAAGTGTTTTGTTTTGTGCTAGCACGCTAGGTGCGAGCCCGGAATCGTTTTTTCACATTACTTCAGTCTATGCCTACTAGTAGGCATAGACGTAGGCTTTTTAGTAGGGGTTGCGGCATTATCACTTAGGCCTAGATAAAATCAATTAGGGATTTGGCGGGATTTGAGCCCGGGACCTCAGGGATCGCAGTCCTGCGCTCTACCACAAGTCAAGCTCGCTCCCCCGACTCAGTTAGCCCACAGGAGTGTAGTTCATACCACACACACTGACACGGACAGAATTGACTTCGAAAACCACTTTTCCACCCAAAACACCAAACGGATATTTCCACCCAAAACTCAAACTCTAAATTTGAACGAAAACAATATTCTCTCTAAATATGTAGGTGGAGAAAGTAAAAGAAAAAACTTAACAAAAAAAAGCTTTACCTGTAAAAGCCATTATCGTAAACCTAACTAACGTTTCACTGTTCGGTTGTTTTTTCCAAACATTTTAGTCATTGGTTTATCAGATTTGTTTTCTACGATGGATTTGTTTTCAAGCAAACGATATAGATTTTTTAAAATTCACAGGTAATATATTACTATTACGATGGATAATAGCTTACTATCATAACAATTTAATTCAATGAATATATTTCTATAAACAAGGTGAGCCTTGCAAAATTTTTAGTTGTCTGTGAGGACAGTGTCAGAATAAAGATACAGGTATATTTATATGTGCGTGTTCAGGGTGGTTTTCCACCTTTTCGGGGGAACGCCACCCTTCTTCCATTTAGCTGATGAAAGCTACTTATTCATTGACTATAGCACATTTTAGGGTATTCACCAGTACTCTGCAATTCAACATATTATTTTTTGTTGTAACTTCAATAAGTAGAAGAGAATTGCTAATAATT